GCATGTCAAAACTCTGTATAAAACAGCTATCCTAAACTTTAATAAAGTTACTTTTAAATGCCAGATTAGTTGTTGGCGTGTTTTTAAAAATCCCTGGAATTATGGATTTGCAATGTGGATTATCATTGTTCTATGTTAAATGCAAGCACATTACGTTGAGCAAGTTCTTGAGGAGCATCCATAATTTTTTTCATCATTCCAATAGGTAGTGAGAGTGTTAGTGTGTCCAAGAGTTATAGGATTAAGAACTTCTTTTGAAGAAACTTTTAATCTGGTTGGAGTTTGTGGATATGGTCTTGAAATAATCAATGACTGGTATAAGGCTGTATTAGACTAATCACGGGAAGAGTAATATAGAAAAATAAGTGAATAGGCTTGCAAGAAAACCCATTAGTTCCAGGCCATTATTTAGTCTTTCCCCCCACCTGCCTTGGGCCTTTGGTAACATTATTTATTCCTTGTTCTTGACATTTTCTCTACCTTTGACCCGTGAGACATTTTATAAACTCAACTAATATTTACTAATTGAATATTCACTCGAGTATAATTTAATCCTGCAAATTTGATAGTGTTATTATCCTGTTTTTAGGTTGGGACACTGAGTCTTAATTAGTTTAAGTTACTTTTGTAGGTTCACCCAGGAAATAAGCAATACATTTGAGGTTTAATTCTACCTTGTTTTCTTCAATTTTTGCTCTTAATTGCTATACTTGCCTTTTTTGACATTTCCCTTCATCAATTTTCTTCTCCCATTATCCATTTCTTAACATTTTTGAAAGGTTCAAATTTTACCCTTAACTATTCTGTCTTTAAACACTCCTGTTTGAAGCAATTTTCCCATCTTTCTGTGATCACCTCTATTCAGGTAATTTCTCGGTTTGTATCCTAATCTCTTTCACTGAATCTCTGATTTTTAATTTTCTATTTTTTGTTCTATGTGGTTTGGAAGCCCTTCCAGCATCTAATGATCTTGTCTGAATTACAGCTCTTTACCCTCCCGCCTCCTCATTTTTCCATATCTGTCATCCTGCACCAGTTTCCCTGGGCATGAAAATTTAGTCAAATTTGATTTGTGTCTCTCTCTCTCCGTTGTTCTCTTTCAAACCATAGAGATACAAAATCCTGTTTTGCATTTCATCATAATATCATAAAATATGGTCCCATCCATCTTTTTCTGTTTCTACTGCTTGTGTAAAGTTTTCAGTTTCTTTTTGTTCTAGCCCATTCCAAAACTACTTTATCCAAGGATATAGGTAAGATTATTACTATAATAATTGATATATTTATTTATTTAATAAAAATTTTAAAGTAAAAATAATATGCATAAAATATGTACTTTAAAAATAATAATGATAATAATTAATAATAATAAAGAAAGAATTGCTTTTTGTATCCTCTGTGTGCCAGAGGTGCATAATTTACTCATTAAAACAACCTTTCAAGTTGCAGTTATTTTCCTCATTTTAAGATAAAAAATTGGAAACTCATAGAAAGGTTAAACACATTTCCCAGGATCACACAGATACCAAGTAGCAGAACCAGGATTTCTGCTGAGGTCTATCAAAGTCCAATGTTCATGCTCTGGCTACTACTTCTCATTCAAATAGGATATATATCAGGATGAAAAGGGAGCTACTAATTTTTCTGGGATAATAGGCACCAATTGGGACTGCCCTAGAAAAACCAGGACTTTGAATAACTTAATGAGTTCTATATTTTGCTTCCTCATCATTGCTTGTACCCCAGTAAATAATGGAGAGGTTGAGAGGACATCTTTTGGATAAAGGAAAATGTGTTCATCCTTGAACTCCTCTTTGAAATATTCTGAAATAGGTTGGATACTCAAGAAAGGAGCTTAATAGAAAATTGAACTAAAGACACAAATTTGAGTCATTTACATGGTGGGATTGCTTAAGACATGAAACCCACGAGCTCATCAATAATTTAAGGAAACAAAAACAATATGGAAGGTTAAAAACTGAACCCTGGGAAATGTGAAATATATAGGGACGGAAATAGGAAAAAGAGCCTATAGACTGTAATCTTCTTTCTGGTATGAACCATGATTTTGTGTGTGTGTGTTCCTGAGCCTCACGTATTATATTGCCAAATACATTTATTAAAATCATCTCGACATTAACTATTATACAAATCCATATGATTCTTAAAAAATGAATTTAATTCTACTTTCTTGGGAGAGCATCAAACCTATTTCACATGAATCCCTCCCAGCTGTCATCTCTTCTCTCTGACCAGGTTTGTGCTTCTTAATGAAGCTGAGAGATACTATGATATGTAGGGACTGGTTTGGTACCATACTTGTGCAACTTCAATCATCTACCAGAAGTCTGAGACCTAATCCATATATATAAGACATATGTGCAAACATTTTTTATCAAGTGTAAATCTTCACATGTCTCATAATAGGACACATATAATATATAGTTTAAGTTAGAAATAAAGAAAGAAAGAAGTCATTTTCTAGGGATTCAAGTTTTGGAAAGGTGACAGTATTGCGCAAATGGAAAGACAATATAACTTTTTGTTGTTGTTCTCCACGTTTACTAGAGCAAGGTATCAGATAACATGGCTTTAAAGAAGACCTGCTTAAGATGCATCTGGAAATGAGGTTGCCATGGCAACTGTCTCTGAAGTAACAAAATACCTCTAGAGCTTTCTAAGAACTCACAACATCCTCTTTGCAGTTGGATCTCAAGAAGAGCTTATTTTAATGAATTACTTTTCTCCTTTTGTGCAGTGGGATCAAGAACAAGGACTGGGATTTATTAATGTCATCTGGGCCACGACAATTCTCTGTGTAAATAGACAGATGAGGCACTGTCACTGTTGAGTCTTAGCTGGGGGTGAGCAAGTCCTCACTGTAGTATGTGCACAGACTTGCATGCGGTGGTTTTAGTTGGACTTGCCTGGAGGAAGATGGATTCTGTCTTTGTGTTTTGATTTCATAACTTCCCAAAGAAGACTTTTGCCATCAACCCAAAACCTATCTAATCCACTGGCACCCAAAGCTCAAATTTCCCCCAATCAAGATTTATTTCTTGGTTATGAAATCTGTCATCCTTAATTCATAAAAGCTCTTGGTAAAGGGTGTAGCATGCAAGTTGCCACACAAAACTTTATGAGTAGTTATTAAATAAAATACCTTCCTGAGAACTGTTTTGGCAATGTACGTAGTTTACAGTAGCCAGGACTGGTATCTGGAGACAAAATTGGGTGATGTCAGTAACATATTAAGTACTTGTAAAGTTTGGAGTTGGACAAACCAGAGTTTGACTCAAGTTTCTAGAACCTACAAGCTGTGTGTGCTCCTCACTTTTAAAGTGGAGATGAACAGGTTGTGAGGAATAAATGTCAAATTATTCACGCATTCCCTTTGTATCCTTCAGATGAGGGTGACAAATCAGACAGAGTTTGGTACACAGTAAGTGCTCAATATAAGATAGCAAAAAGTATTTTCCCCACAGCACTTTGTTCTTAATTGTGCTTAAAATGATGTAACCTGAATGAAAGGATAGGGCATTAAAAGCCTTCTCAAGTATTATCAGAGGCATAAACAAACACTTCTTCCTTAGGGAAGGTGGTCTCTGGAGCAGTGATCCTGAGGGAGCCTCTATAACTAGGTCACTGAGGTCTCCAATCCAGAAGAAAACTTTCCAGTCTCTGGTTATCCATGAGTGTTATAAACGTGCCATCTCATCTGTGGGAACTGGACAGGAGGCTCGTGACAAAGCCATAGTCAGAAATCATTTTCTTCAGCTCAGCAGGAGAACCAAGGCAACCTACAGGTTTTGATTTTTAAAGGAGAGAAGCAGAAGCAGAAGGGTTTGAGCTCTGAGACTTCACCTTCTTTTCCCCAGGACCATTTGAGTCCCCATTAGAGAGATGGGTGGGAGCCAGTAGAGTACATAACTGTGACTCCAAGCAGGAGGCTGAGTGCTTGCCTGGCCTGGTCTGTCCTGTAGCAGAGCGGTTAAAAGCTGAAACCCCGAGAGCAAGACTGCCTGAGTTCACCTTCTACTGCAACTTAGAAGCACTGGGTCTGCTGCAAGTCCTTAGGCCCGGTGTCCTCATCCGTAAAATGGGTTTAATCATAATGCCCCAGAAAATTATCTATTGAATAGTTAGTGCTCAGTAACTGTTCCTTTTGTTTTCTTTTTTTCTTAGCTTTAATAAGTTTATATTATTACTCCAGTATTATTGTTTTTATATTTTTATTTTTCGATTACAGTTGACATACAATAGCATATTAATTTCAGGTGTACAACATAGTGATTAGACATTCATACAACTTTTGAAGCGATCACTCCAAGAAATATAATACCCATCTGACACCATACATAGTTATTGTAATAATATTGCAATATTATATTCCCTATGCTGTACTTTACATCCCCGTGGCTATTTGTAACTACCAATTTGTAGTTCTTAATCTCTTCCCCTTTTTCACCCTGCCCCACAATGCACCTCCCATCTGGCAACCATCAAAATGCTTATTACTCCAGTATTATTTTCACATAATAATTCTACGGCCATTCCAGCTAAAGATTCTGGGCAACACGACCCCGTTTTTCTGCTCTGACTAGCACTGACCAAAGGTGGAAGGTCTATGCAGAGTCGAATGGCTTCTGCCTCTCAAGAACACTCAGAGAGGGGACCCAGGCCTTACAAACTTGGTCAGGGTCTGTAGAGGGAAAGAAGTACTAGAAGAGGGCCACAGTGAGGTGGCAAGGTCATCCCAGCTGAGCTTTCTGAACATTCTCCTCAGTTAGACCAGCCCTTACGCTGGAGGCAAATTTCACCCACAGACAGTTACTAGGATGGATGGTTCAAGGCACTTGGGACCGTAAAAACAGCTGCAGGTACATGGAGATGCCATCTTCTTTAAGTTCAAAAATCTGTTTAAATGCCGTTCTCAAGAATGAGTTTCCGCTCCCCTCTTCCTCTGAGCATTTCTTTCCTTTTTCCCTCACAGATCTTCCCAGAGGAGAATGGCTGCAGAAAACACCTCCTCTGTGACAGAGTTTATCCTCGCAGGCTTAACGGACAAGCCAGGACTCCAGATCCCCCTCTTCTTCCTGTTTCTAGGTTTCTACGTGCTCACCGTAGTGGGGAACCTGGGCTTGATAATACTGATCGGGCTGAACTCTCACCTTCATATTCCCATGTACTTTTTTCTCTTCAACTTGTCCTTCATAGATTTTAGTTTCTCTACTGCCATCGTCCCCCGAATGCTTATGAGTTTTGTCTCAAAGAAGAATATCATCTCCTACGCAGGGTGTATGACTCAGCTCTTTTTCTTCTGTTTCTTTGTCTTTTCTGAATCCTTCATTCTGTCAGCGATGGCGTATGACCGCTATGTTGCCATCTGTAAACCATTGTTGTACATGGTCACCATGTCTCCTCGGGTGTGTTTATTCCTTTTGTTGGGTGTCTATGGGATGGGGGTTTTGGGGGCTACAGCTCATATAGGAAATATAGGGTTTCTGACCTTTTGTGCTGACAACCTTGTCAATCATTATATGTGTGATGTCCTTCCCCTCCTTGAGCTCTCCTGCAATAGCTCTTACATCAATTTACTGGTGGTCTTCATTGTTGTGACCATTGGCATTGGGGTGCCTATTGTTGCCATTTTTATCTCTTATGGTTTCATTATTTCCAGCATTTTTTACATTAGCTCCACTGAAGGCAGGTCCAAAGCCTTCAGTACCTGCAGTTCCCACATAATTGCAGTTTCACTTTTCTTTGGGTCAGGAGCTTTTATGTACCTCAAACCACCTTCTATTATACCCCTTGACCAGGGGAAAGTGTCTTCTCTGTTCTATACCATTGTTGTGCCCATGTTCAACCCATTAATCTATAGCCTGAGGAATAAGGATGTCAAATGTGCCCTAAAGAAAACCTTGGGTAGAATAACCTTCTCTTGAAAAAATATTAGAAATTGAGAAAAGGGATGAGAATTTTTAATTATAGTGTTGTTATTATTATTACTATTTTCAATTAGGAATACAAGCTTCTTACTTTTCTATCCCGTGTATAGAGGAAATTTGAACTCTCTTCCCCAAATCGATTTACTCTCTCTCACACTCATCCCCCAACTGTTCCTTCTTTATTTTATGAAAATAGTTTCTATAACTATAGAGTATCCAATATTGAATGTGGCTTAGGAATTATTTAACGTAGTGCTTTTATATAATACATCACTCCTTGAAGACTGAGAAATATTTGCATGTTGTTCGAGAATATAAAAGTACCTGGTGACAGATCTGGGACTGAAATCCCAGCTTGAATCCCAATCCAATTTGTCTTCTTTTACGCCACGGTTTCTTGCCTCATCTTTTGGGGGGGGAAGATTTCATTTCACAAGTTAATTGATATAGCACATCTAAATTATGAATATATTCACGGTAATTTCATGCTACTTTTCACAGGATAATTTTAATATATCACATCTTGCAAGAGAGTAGGAGGTGAAAGTTTTTGTGAAGTTGGTCTTGGCAAAATGACGAAATCAGTGTTTGATGAATTTTGTAATGTGCAAGTGAGAAGTTTATTAGATTTCGCATAGAGGCAAGTATGGTGACCACTGACTTGTTGAGTGGAGCACTAGGGCCAGAGGTTAGTGAATTAGGACTTCTAGGGTAGAGAAATGTAATTTTATGGGGTATGAAGATGCTGGGTGGAGGTGTCCTATATTATTTCGAGGCTGAGACAGAATTTAAAATCTTATTTCAAGGGTTATCTTGGTTGTGGTCCAAGATAATTGAGAGCTGCACTATCCAATATGGTGGCAACTAGCCATGTATGGTACTGAGCACGTGAAATGTGATCATCTAAGCAGAACCATACTGTGAGTGTGCAAAGCTAGTGTAATATACACACTGAATCTCTGAGGAATATGAAAAATAATGTAAAATATCCCATTGATGCTTTTTTACTTGATTATATATTGAAATGATAACATTTTGGATATATTATGTTAAATAAAATATATTAAAATAAATTTATCTGTTTAGTTTTTTTTTTAATGTATCTATCAGAAAGTTTAGAATTATGTATGTGGTTTGCATTATATTTCTGTTGGATGACACTTGGTCCAGAGGATGTAACAGAGCACCAGATGGCTGTGGATACATAATTATGAGGGCAGCCCCAAGTCATTGCTTATTAGGAGGCAATTGCAATAGAATTTTCAGGCATTGCAGATAGCCTTGATATCCTAATAATGAGGCATATGGTGAAGAGATAATGATCGCAGGATAAGTTCATAAATCCACCATACGAGGTAATGAGAAATATGGTTTTATAGTCAAAAATCAAAAGAACAATTTTTTGTCTAAACTCACTATTATTGGTAAAATTTCTCTGAGAAGCAATGATATGTGAAGTGCTGAGGAAATATTCTGATTTATAGACTTTTCCTTAGGAAAGTTTACGTCTACTGGGAAATAGGGGGAGTTTGAGTAAATGTTTAGTTTTGACCTTTGATTCTGTTCACTGTTGCCAAAAAGAAAAGAATAAGCATAAAGGAGGAGGATTGGGATGAGGTTGAACAGATTCCTGATTTCAAGAAACATAGAATTTAGGAGTGGGGTTGGTGTGTTGGATATGCGGTACAATGTAGGTATGAAAGAAAACTTCTTTTGAAAACTTTGAAATCTAACTTTCATATAGCAAAATGAACAAATCTGAAGTGTATAGCTCATTAAATTTTTGCACACATATGTGTAACTGCAGCCTAGACCAAGATGCAAAACACTTCCATTTACTTTAGAAGTTTTCCTCTTGCTCCTTTCCAGGAAATACTACTGGCCCTCAATCCCCTTCCCACAGAGCTATCCACTATTCTGACTTATATTATCATAGAGTAGTTTTGTGTGTATTTGAACTTCATATAAACATTTACTCTATTGTTCCTGGCTTCTTTTCCTCAGCATAAAGCCTATTATATTCATCTACATGGCTGTATATGTAAATAGATTATTATTTTATATTTCTGTGGAATAGTCCATCATATAAATATATAATTATTTAGCCTGTTAATGAACAGTTAGATGGTTTCAAGTTTTTATCTATTATTAATAAAGCTTTTAGAAATACTTTTGAACATATATTTTGGTTGAAGTAAGCAAACGTTTCTTTTAGATTATACTTAGATGTGGATCTGTGGATCTATTGGATAATAGAGTATTCTTCCGTTTCACTTTTATAAATACTGCCAAACTGTTTTCAAAATAGTTTGATTAACTTACATTGGTTGGATAATAGAGTATTCTTCCGTTTCGCTTTTATAAATACTGCCAAACTGTTAAATTAATCAATAGTTTGATTAATTTACATTGCTATCAACAATGTCCAAGATTTCCAGTTGCTCCATGACCTTGTTAACACTTGGTATTTTTATCCCTGTTTTATTCCATACCAAAAAAATATATATTTTCATTCTGATATGTGTAGTGGAATGCCTTTTTGTTTTATTTTCCTGATGAGTAATGATGTTGAACAACTTCTGATATATTTGCATATTTTTATTATATTATATATTATTTTAGATATCTCCTCCTGTGAAGTAAGTATTCAAATCCATTTAAAAAATTGTGTTGTTAGTTGTTTTCCTATTGATCTGATGAAATTAAAAATACATATAGACATCCATATATGTGTATTGTGTATGTATATGTGCATTTATATACAACATATGTGTATCTATTGATAATATATACATACACACACATATATCTCTATTCCATCTCCATCTCCATCTCCATCTCTGTCTCTCTATATCTACCTTCTCTTAGACTATGCTTTGCTTATTCTTAATGATATCTTTTGATAGCCGATGTTCTTAATTTTAATGAAGTTTGATTTATCAACTTTGCCTTTTATAGTTTGTGTTATGTCCTATTTAAAAGATCATTTACTATTCCTTCTGAGGCCAGAAGAAGAGAAAGATGACATAGCAAACCCATGACAGTTGGCTCTGCCAACATTTTGGGTCTCCTGATCTTCTGGCTTCACCTTATGGGTGGATTACCTCTACCTCTATTTGGCTGATGCTTTGTAGAGGCAGAGCACTTGAGGCTGAAGTTTCTAGGATTACAAGTATTTTTAATTCAATAAACATGTATCTGTTTATTTATCTATTTTATGTTTTTGAAAGAGTTTTAAGAAGATATAAACATACAATTAACTATAAATATTCAAAGTATTAATTTTGATATCTTTTGACATATGCACAGTCATGAAACCATCACCAAAATTTTGTCCCTCCTGCCTCCTTCCACCACCAGCCCTTCTACTTTCTAGGCAACAACTAATTTGCTTCCTGTTACTCCTTTGTTTCCGTTCTCAAGATTTTTATGTAAATAGAATCATACAGTATGTATTCATTTTTGTCTTGTTTCTCCCATTTAGTATAAGTATTTTCAGTTTCTTCCATGCTGTTACAGCTATTAGTAATTAGTTGTTTTCCTATTGATTTGATGAAGTTAAAAATACATATAGACATCCATATATGTGTATTGTGTATGTATATTTGCATTTATATACAACATATGTGTATCTAATATTCCATTATATGAATATACTATCTTTGTTTATCTATTTACTTGTTGATGGATATTTGAGTGGTTTTGGGGTTGTTTTTGGCTATCACAAACAAAACTTTTATGAACATTCATGTACAAGTCTTTGTATGGACATATCTTTTCATTTCTCCTGGATGATACATAGGAGTTTATAGGTATATTGATTATATTTGTGTCTGTTTGTTTCTGTTCTCTATATTCTATTCCTTTCATCTATCTGTCTTGACAATAATACCATACAGTTTGATTATTATAGCTTTATAATAATTTTTAAAATCAGTTAGTATAAGTCCTCTACCTTCATTCTCCTCTCTCAAAATTGTTTTGGCTATTTAGCCCTTAAATTTTCATATGAATTTTAAATCAGCTTGTAAATTCCTACAAAAGAACCTGCTGAGATTTTGACTGGGATTGTATTGAATCTGTGGATCTTTTGGGGAAGAACTGACATTTTACCTCCAGAAAACAAGTAGGAACACCCATTTTCTTACAGTCTCTTGAACATGGTATATTCTCAATTTTTTCAAATTTTCCAACCAGATGGAAGGAGTCACTCTGTCTGACCCAAATTTGAAAAACAGTTTTTAAGTATTGCGATAATTTTCATTTATTTAATTTTGAGAAATGTGGGATATGTTTTCATGTATTCAATGATTGTTGGTATTACTACTACTCCTTATATGGACTGTCTCTTCATACCTTTTCCACTTTTCTGTTGGATTTTGATCTCAGTTTTTAGGAGGACTGTATATTAGGTATATTAGTTTTTTGTCTGAGGTATAAGTTGCATATTTTTTCCTAATTGTGATTTGGCTTTTAACTTTTCTTATACTAAAATTTTTTAAATTGAATTTATTAATATTTTATTATTTCTGGTATTTAACTCATAGTTAGAAATGTTTTTTCTCCTCTCAGATTATAAAGAAAGTCATTCATTTTTTTCATAATGAATGTATGATTTTATTTCTTTACATTTAGGTATCTGATCTTTTTAGAAATTTTACCAGTGTATGGTGTGAGAAATGGATCTAATTTTATCTTTTTCCATATAGCTATCCAGCTGTGCTATCACCATTATAAAAAAGTCCATCTTTTCCCCACTGATTTGACCTGCCACCTTCATTACATACTAAGTTTCACAGATACTTGGGCTATTTCTTGTTTTGCCCTTCTGTTCTATGGGTCTGTCAGTCTATTCAAAAGCCAATACCAGACTGCCTGAATTATAAAAGCTTTATAACATTTCATATCTTGAAAGTAACTTTTCACACAGCATTTGTCATTTTTAGGGTCTTCATGACTATTCATGTTTAAACGTAACCTTTATAATTAATCTGTCT